TGAGGTACTTTTCCATATGGCTACCTCCCGGTTTGCACCAAACCCACCTCTGATGTTTATTGCCTGAAAGCTCTATTTTGGTTTCATCTGACCATAGAACCTGATCCCATTTCAAGTTCTGGTAGTGTCTGGAAAACTGAAGATGCTTGAGTTTGTTGGATGAGAGTAGAGGCCACTCGACCCATCCTCTTCACAGTGCGTATAGATAATATACACAGACATCCTCTTCCAGGTTGATTTATAACATTTCCAGTTGACTCAAATTCCTCATCATTTCCCTGATTGTGGAAATGGGCATTTTTAATGCTTTTGCTATTTTCTTACAGCCACTTCCCATTTTGTGAAGCTCAACAACTTTTTGCCGCACATCACAGCTATATTCCTTGGTCTTACCCATTGTGATGAATGACTTAGAAAATTTGACCTATGTGTTTGCTCATATTTAGGCCCTGTAGAACAGGTAGTTATAGTTAAACAACGTCCTGCTCCTAGTCACCCACGTGTACTAAAACATATTAACATCAATAGGAATATACTCCCTCCCAGACCCTCCCACCTCCTGGACAGCTCACTAAGAATGCAGCTTCACAATGAATGTAAAATGGATGCTGTCCAGGTGGTGGGAGGGTCTGGGAGGGAGGGTCTGCTGCTGATTGGCTGGAATGTGTCTGCTGACTGTGAGGTACAGGGTCAAAGTTTACTCAATGATGACATAGGGGCGGACCGAAACAGCGCATATGTTCGCCATCCGCGGCGATCCGTTCGGTGAGCCATTCGGCGAACCGTTCGTGACATCACTACTCATACCCTCTCCTAATGATAAGCAGTTCCAGTGACATCTAACTGAGAAAGTATGTTATTAGTTATATAATGTACCCAGTGTTGCTTGGAATAACACATTTTGACAATATACAGTAGAAAGTCATACTTGTATACTTACCTAAATTGTCATTAGAGAAAACTATATGATCTGCTATGGTACATTATTAATTAAAATCTAACATCAGAATCATTTGAGCTAGCAATTCTTATAACGGGTATAACAAATTACAGGAAGACGACAAGCACCAGAACCACTACAGTGTGGAGTGGTTATGGTGCCAGGAATGTGTCTGCCCTCCCATTGTATGTAGTTAAACTTTTTTTAAATGATTTACTTATTTTAACAAAATGTAAAAAAAAAGTCACTTTCTACTTGAAATCGCACTTAGTGTATCTTGGTATAATCCACACACTATATGTCCACAAATTACCTCTATAAAGTGACTTGTGGAATAAAAATCTAAAATCACATAAGTGTTTTCACATCAAAATGAATTTGAAAAAGGGAAATTGCAATCAAAATGCAACATTTACCCCACAGTTTTTATATCACTTCAACATTAAAATATACATTTTGTGTTTCAAACAAATATACAATAGTGCAAGCAGTAAGAAAATTCAGGGAATTATAAATTATATAAATTATAAAAAGAGTGCCGGCTCTCATTTTTAGAACCCCCACACATGACTTTTTTTTAAGGTGATGGAGTCTTTTCAGAGTGACTCCTTCCCTCCTTCTGTCACTCCTGTCCTCAACCTCATTCAGGTAAATGGACCCAAAACCAGGAGAAATATTGTGTAATATAATATGCAAAAAAGGAGTTTGATATTTTCACATAATGCTCCTATTATCTACCTCTGTCACTAGAAAGAAATGACTAGAACATTTTATGTGAATGCTACAATCTTCCAAGTCCTTTGAAGGGCAAGATATCTGGTCAATATTTACCCTAACATCTATAGTTACCTATAGCCATGATACTTTGTAGTACTCTCACCATAGGCAAACATATAATCTTGAAGAAATCATGACATGTTAAACTAACAAAATAAAAACGACATATTACAATGCCCTGGCAGAAAATAACAAAACATATATTACAGTGCATTAGCTTTTGCTTTATTAGTCTAGAATTAAATTGAATAGTACATGTTTATTTTTTTAAAGACAAAAAAAGTATTGTTCATAATGTCAGCTTGGTTATTTTATCCTTCATTTTTTTCATCCTCAAGAGATGTTATTTTTTTGCCAAAATGCAGCGTTAATTTTCCATTAGTCCCTTTATTTGGGTTATTAACTTACTTCTAAACATCTGTTAGGACACGAATACCACCACAGCTGAAAGTAAGCTAATTTTACTCTTGTGTATAAAAAAATATATACTAAATGGGAAAGAACATTTTCAATGTAGCCTAAATGCATTTTACTCTATTAAAATATTCATGCCAGGTTCTTTCTAATAAAGATAACCTACATTTTTGCTGGGATGTGAAAATTGGATCTGAAATCTCTATGTGTTTTATTTTTAAGTTATTTTGAATTAAAAAAAATTATAATTCTGGCAGAATACAATACAAAGTTGTATATTTTAATATTTCCAACTATTTTAAGCTGGGTTAATATGATGACAGGCTATGAATTATCTTTTGGCCTCCTTAGCCATCTTTCCCCATTAAGATGTCATTAAAACATGTATACCATAGTGGTGCATGTGTGAAATGCTATACTACACTATTATTTAGTCCTACCCCCAAAAAAGTATTAAACTACTGTTGTGAACAGAATATTAACTTTACCTATTTACTCTGTGCATCTGTGTTCATTAACTGCTCAAACTGGCTGCTAGAGTAACTGCTTCCCCTCCAACCCCTCCCCTCCTGTGTTCAGTAACTGCTCCTCCTCTAATCCCCATCCCATCCTGCTCCCCCCACTTCCATCGAGTAACCACCCAATTAACAAGACGGCGCTGGAATGTGGAGGAGAACTGCATGATGACAGTGACATAACACCCTGTAGGCTGTGCATTAGATGAACCACTTAACACCTAACCAATTGTTGATGTATTTTCTCGGTTATCTATAAATATGCATATGATGTATTTCTGCTTTATAAGGGGCATACCGGCCCCTTGGATTAAACATTCCTCAAGTTTTTCATTAACCTGAAACTTGTGTCCGGTGTGAATTACTTTTAGGAGCGTGCACGCATTTAATAATTTGGACAGGGGCAGATATACAAAATTATCAAACACTTAATTTGATCCTTAACACTACCACTGCCTACTATTCCATGCAGGTGGATGTAAAACATTAAGAAACTTGAACTAAGAATAAAGACAATCTTAAACCCCCAGCTATTATGATAATAAAAATCATCATCATATTGCATTAATCAATTATCAATAATGAAATATAAACATGCCAATGGGACTTGTTCAAAAATAAATAAATCATTTTACTGTTCTAGACAATATACAGGTGTTTTACATGTGAACATGGACTCTTCATAAAATAATACTCTCAAATGATATCAATAACACTCCAAACATAGTTCTTATTGGAATAAAAATATAAATAATATCAGAATAAGCACTGAAAGAGTTTGTTTCTTGTTACTTGATAGACAAAAAGTTTTTGTTTCAGTCGCATAGCAATTTATGTAGTGGTTATTGGCTGAAATTTAGATTTCCAAGCCACCACGTGGCAGAATTTCAGAAGAACTGATTAGCACAAATCCATGCTTGCTCTCATTTGGGAATCAGAGTTTCATTCCTGGCGCTGTAAAAAAGAGGGATGAAATGGAGAAAAGACAATTTTTTTCTTAGTTTTTTTGTTTTTTTTGATGCATCAAATAAGTATCTTACAGAAAAAACTTACAATACTGGAGCGCTTAATATACACAGTTCTACAGGGGTAAAGTAGAGTTATTTAACAATTGTGTATTACACAGTATCTCTTTAATTGCCGGCTACCACACTTCAAAGTGATCCCTTCACCACATACAAGAAATAGAAATTATAGTGTTAAGAAGTGGAGCAATGTTAGAGCTAAAGGACAAAACCCCTTTCCCACATGCAATCAAGTAATAAAAAAAATATTTATACTTATATTGCTTGTTGCTTAATATCCCAATTCAAGCTCAGCATATATGGGAAAAAATATATGAAAAGGATCATAGAACAGATCTGCATGAATCAGTTAATATTATTGAATTCTATAAACACTGAATTAAATCAGCTTATTTAGCTGGATGAAAGTTTATTACAGTATTGCCACAAATTAAAAACAGAAGATAATAATCAATACATAACAGGCTATAAAAAGTAATAAAAGAATGATAATAGTAAAAACATAAAATACACCTAAATTCACTGTTTAGTTGACATATGTTTAGCAGATTACTGCTTAATTGATGCAACAGTGAAGCCAAACACTATCAAAATGTATAGCAGGTTACTGCTTACTAGATGTGGTGGTGAGTATAACGGTGTAAATCCGTTTACCCACAAACAGGTTTTCCCGCACTGGGAGATGTCTCCTGTACCAGAAGATAGCTGATCATCTGTGGGGTGCCTTTTTGTTTTGTCCGGATGGCGTCTGGTCTTGCTTCTGCTTTTTCGAAACGCCCAGCTTCTGAACAGGCTCCGCCCCCTTATTGACGTACTTCCGTGTCTACGCGTTTCTCCGTTCACAGACAGCTTCGTCAGGACGTGAAGTGCTTGATTGTTCCCCCTCTCTGGGAGCTTTTCTATACCTTGCTTTACACACAATTGGTGCATTTAAATATTGTCCACATGTGTTTTGCATCCTTATCAATAAACATTGATTTATCTTATAAAACATTCTTTTTTCATTTTTCATTTCCATTTATAGCAGAATTTACATTTAGCAAATTTTTTTAATGCAGTACATTCAATATATATGCAATAATACCAATAAAAAAGATTTAAAAATTAAAATAGTTCAACATAATCTCTTAAATAGCCCTAATCATCTAACCACAATCAATAGAATACATCCAATAAAAGCACTTATATTTCAATTAAAGATACCGAGTTCAAAAATAGAGAAAGAGAAAAGGAAACAACATATGTTATTGTTAGTCCATCATTATTACAGTGTAATTTCATCTTGTTATTTAAAGTGACACAATAGCAATGTCTTTTCATATTATACAGACAAAATATACATTAGAAACAAATAGAATGTTCAATGGACACATTAGTAGCTTATTTAAAACGGAGCCTGAGTGGATCTCCAGACTTATACTGTTTGATAGAGATGATGGGGAATTCATGGAGGAGTGGTATACACTTATGGATAACCTCTCCTTCCAGACAATGACTTTCATCATCAAGCGCAGACAGCTGACCCTACGTAAGTTAGATAAAGATATTCTGGAACTTAAAAGAGAGTGTGAAAAATGTAAAAGTGAAAAGGAATTTATAGACAAAACATATATGATAGGTGAAAAAAATCGATAAACTAGAGCATGAAGTATTATGGGTTAAACAGAAAAAAATATTATCAAGATCAAAAAGATTATATGACGAAAACAGCTTATGTCAAAAAATATGAAAATTAACATTTTCAGAGAAACCCATTTAGAAAAGACAACAACAATTTTAATTTTAATCAAAGATTCAGACCCACATATAATACAGGATATAGGGACCATAATAGCCCTGGAATTCATTTGAAGAATGATTCTAAGAGACAAAGAGAACAATTAGATAATGGGATAAAAAGAACAAATCATTACGAAACAAAAAAATGGGAAATGCAAAAAAAGACCCGTTATGAGCAAAATAAAGGCCTTAAACAGGACAATTTCTATATGCCGATAAGAAATCGTTTTGAACCCCTAGGTAGGAGAAATGACCACTCCACTACTCCTTTTTTAGAGAAACGAAGGAGGAATTGGGAATTAAGTCCCCCCCCAGTATACACCAAAAGGATGAAAAGGAGAGAGGAAGGAGAGGTAGAGGGGGAAAAAGAACAAAAAGAGGTATAAACACTTATAAAGCCCAGGTAGAACCAATAGGAATATTTAATTTGTCGGACAAACAATTAGGAAAAGCACACATTTCGTTACTCAATACGGGCTTAAAATTTGCCCCCACAAAAAATTTGGATAAATTTCAATTTTTTGTTGATTTGAATAGATTTACAAGAAAACTTTGTCTTAAGAAATATTTTGAGAAAAATGTAGAGACTCCCACAATTAAAGATGATCAGAATGAATTGACAAATGAAGGGATAACACATACTTCATTAAAAGAAAAGTCCTCTTTTTATCCTAAATGGCTAGTATCTGAAGGGATAACTACCTTTCAAAACATGGTTAATTCAGATATACAGCGATTAAAATCATCTAATAGATTGGAATCAAATTTGACCCCACACGAATATGTAGCATTAAAAGATCTGAGACAGGACACCAATATAGTCATAAAACCGGCGGACAAGGGGGGTGGGATAGTTATTATGAATTATGAATATTATCTAGAAGAATCAAATAGATTACTTGGAGACAGCTCTACATATAAGAAGCTGTCTCAAAATCCCACACAGGAAATAAAAAAGAAATTCCTTGAATTAATTGAGAAAGGGAGCAAGGAGAAGGTTCTAAATGAAAAAGAGAGAGAATACATAGAGATAAAATTTGAAAGGATACCAGTATTCTATTTTCTCCCGAAATTGCATAAAGATAAGTGTAAATACCCGGGTAGACCCATAATATCGGGCATCAACTCAATCTCATGTAGACTTTCAGAGTATGTTGACCATCTACTACAACCTTTAGTGAAAACCTGTCCATCATATTTGAAGGACACAATTAGTATTCTACAGGAATTACAAAAGATTGAATGGAATAATGAGTGGCTGCTAGTTACAGCGGATGTAGCTGCTCTATACACTAATATAGATCATAAACTTGGCATTCAAGCTATAAAATATAATCTAGAACACAGGTCCCTATATTCGAATAATCAAATTCTGTTTATTTTGGAATCTATAGAATTTATTCTGCATAACAACTTTTTTTGGTTCAATAACGATTTCTACCACCAGGTCTGTGGCACAACTATGGGCACCAAGTTCGCTCCCAGCTATGCGAATCTGTTTATGGCATGCTGGGAGTCCCTCCATTTTGGAGGGGATAGTGGCTGGGAGACGAACTTGGTGCTGTATAGGCGCTACATAGATGACCTGTTTTTCATCTGGCGGGGAGGGAAAGAACTTCTAAAATCATTTATTCAGCAAGTGAACGCTAACCAGTGGGGGATCAACCTATCTTTTGATTATAGCAAAAAAGAGGTCAACTTCTTAGACCTTACTATTTATATAGAAGCTGATACTATCAAGACTAAATCCTTTTTTAAATCTGTTGACGTAAACAGCTACATAGAAATTAGTAGTTGTCATTTCAGTCCTTGGCTCACTAACATCCCGAGAGGCCAATTAACCAGAATAAAAAGAAACTGTACAGACCAAAAGATTTTTTTACATCAAAGCCAACAAATTTTATCTGATTTTAAAGAGAGAGGCTATAATGACCATACTTTATGTAAAGCCATAGATGATACTCAATGTATTGATAGAGACAGCCTATTAAAGTATAAAGTTAGAAAAGAAAATACACAACAGCAAGAAAGTGTTCCCTTCATTTGCCAATTCTCAGGACCACAGAATAAACAAGTTAGAAAAATTATTTCTAAGCACTGGCATTGGTTACTAAAAGATCCTGTTTTAGCAAAATTCCTACCTCCTATCCCAAGAATAATACATAGAGGGGTGGAGAATATGAAAATGATTTTGACCAACAATATCTCAAATAAAAACCTATCTAATTCAAACTTTATGAGTCAACTAAAGGGATTTTTTGGATGTGGCTATTGCAATGCCTGTCGGAATACGGGCAGCAATAAACAAAGCATTAAAGAGTTTGTGGCGAATGGAAAAACAAACAAAATAAAAGAACTTATAACATGTCAAACAATGAATGTGATATATATGTTACTTTGCCCATGTGGTTTGAGGTACATAGGCTGGACAACTAGACAGTTACGAACAAGAATATGTGAGCACACCTATAACATGAAGAGAAAATACCAATTACATCAAGTGTCTCTACATTTTGAGGAGTTTCATAATTCTGATCCATCCCTTTTAAAATTCATAGGGATCCAACAGATCAATAACAATTGGAGAGGAGGCAATTTGATCCAGAATTTAGGCCGTACGGAGATGAGGTGGATATTTGAGTTGAACACTCTCATTCCTCACGGAATGAACAATGATTTTGAGATCTGTCATTTTTTATGATTTTATATATATATATATATTTCTATACAATACACTTTTTGGAGATTATGTTGAACTATTTTAATTTTTAAATCTTTTTTATTGGTATTATTGCATATATATTGAATGTACTGCATTAAAAAAATTTGCTAAATGTATATTTTGCTATAAATGGAAATGAAAAATGAAAAAAGAATGTTTTATAAGATAAATCAATGTTTATTGATAAGGATGCCAAACACATGTGGACAATATTCAAATGCACTAATTGTGTGTAAAGCAAGGTATATAAAAGCTCCCAGAGAGGGGGAACAATCAAGCACTTCACGTCCTGACGAAGCCGTCTGTGAACGGAGAAACGCGTAGACACGGAAGTACGTCAATAAGGGGGCGGAGCCTGTTCAGAAGCCGGGCGTTTCGAAAAAGCAGAAGCAAGACCAGACGCCATCCGGACAAAACAAAAAGGCACCCCACAGACGATCAGCTATCTTCTGGTACAGGAGACATCTCCCAGTGCGGGAAAACCTGTTTGTGGGTAAACGGATTTACACCGATATACTCACCACCACATCTAGTAAGCAGTAACCTGCTATACATTTTGATAGTGTTTGGCTTCACTGTTGCATCAATTAAGCAGTAATCTGCTAAACATATGTCAACTAAACAGTGAATTTAGGTGTATTTTATGTTTTTACTATTATCATTCTTTTATTACTTTTTATAGCCTGTTATGTATTGATTATTATCTTCTGTTTTTAATTTGTGGCAATACTGTAATAAACTTTCATCCAGCTAATTAAGCTGATTTAATTCAGTGTTTATAGAATTCAGTAATATTCACTGATTCATGCAGATCTGTTCTATGATCCTTTTCATATATTTTTTTCCCATATATGCTGAGCTTGAATTGGGATATTAAGCAACAAGCAATATAAGTATACATTTTTTTTTTATTTCTTGATTGCATGTGGAAAGGGGTTTTGTCCTTTAGCTCTAACATTGCTCCACTTCTTAACACTATAAATAAGTATCTTAGTTTGCCATTATGGACAAGAGATCTGCCCAATCATGTGAGCTAGATCTCCTGTCAGATCAAAAGGTAGGAAAAAAAAAAAAGATGATTGATGATTAGGGGACAGCTACTGAATGTTGATTTAAATCACAGATAAAGTGACAATTGTCTAATACGGTAAGAAAAGAAGTAGCAGTAAAGCAAGGCGTACATCCAAACTGGATTTTTCCAGGCACTTTGACAAAGAATAAAATTACTTGCACAGTATCCCAAATACCTATGCACATTTAACCCCTTAAGGACACATGACATGTGTGACATGTCATGATTCCCTTTTATTCCAGAAGTTTGGTCCTTAAGGGGTTAAATAACTGAAGGTTTTGTAGTATCCCTCCAATGATCATTAAAGTGTAAGCTCACCTGCCATGTCAATGCAAAATCTCTTGGGTAAGTCCTACACCAATAATTCACCTTGCTGCTCTCAGCCTCTACACATTTATTAACAATTAATATGGCACACATGGGGTGAGCGACAGCAATGTAACATGGTCTTGTAATAAAACAGCAAAAAAAACCATGCAAAATTAAGCCCAGCCTGTGTTCTTAAACCTTGCTGTGCCTGTGTGGGAGATAGCCTGGGTCATTAATTATATTGTATGATTAGGCTTAAGTTGCTCTGGTATCTAGCTCCCAAAAGTGTGAGTGTGTCTTTTAATATCTTTATAACACTTACCTTGTAACTATATTGAGCCATTATTTGCTTTGTTTACCTTTTTATTTTAAAAGATTCACATTGCCGTCAATTAAAAATCCATATTGAGTTATGTATATATACATACACATATATGTGTGATTACACCAAGGTATAGATTTATCCCCAATTAGGTCACATTTTTCTGTTTGTGTGCAATCTATCTATTTTTGTCTTGGCATTTAAATATTTGATCAAATGTGTTTAATTCAGATTCCAAAATAGACGACATATTGGGGAAGTCTAAAACTACACCTTAATGGTGAATCTACAGAGACATCCAACCAAAACCAGAATAAAAAAATA